AATTCTTTGTAGTTTCTAATTAATTTTTTATTCCTATCTCAACAATAAACTAATTGGCTATTTACAGAACAATATCAACAATATGTTCCATATTGTTATTTTCAAACTCCGAGATAACATAAGTACAATAAAGTACCGACCCATATTAAATATGACTCAATCTCAACATCAACCCTTGTGAATGATTGAATTAAGAGATTACAAGAGATATCAATAAATAAGAAAAGGGTATAAAACTTTGGAAACATCTTAAGTTCCACCATAAGAATACATCTAATTAAAGTGTGTGATTTAATAAGGAATGTTAAATGATATAACGAGTAATGCTCTGACAACTATCCTACGAGGAGGACAAATGTCATAATCAAAGTAAAATATCTCTAAAACCAAAAATATCATTCCTTTCCTTCAAAGAATATATATATATATATATATATATATATATATATATATGCTCCCCAAAGAGTTCAAATTTTGCTCTTGATGCTGCAACAAAATATTTAAATAAGTAATGTTGAACAAAGGAAAATCATATAAGAAAGATGTATCTAAAATAGAGTGATATAATGTATTACTCTGTATCAGTTATAGTAAAAGTGATAGCTAGTTTCTTAGCGCCGTAATAAGTTTTGACTGGAGCAACTCCATGAACTACTCCAATGATGTCAGGATACAATACCAAAGTTAAACCATTATAAAGTATGGGTAAATAATAAATAAAAATATAATGAAATAAATATCACAGTATTCTTGTAAGAGCCATTGCGAGATCTGAAAAGGATCAAGTCCATAAACAACTCCAATGATGTCATGAAATGATACATAAGTCAAACCCTGACTAACATATGAAAAAAAACTAAAAAAAGAATATGAGGAACAAAATTAATGTAAATATTTTCTCAAGTAATAGATCGGGACAATATTTTCCATTGTTGATTTCAAAAACACTTTTGATGATGAACTTATAGAGAGGAATATCAGGAAATTCCTTGGAAGTGACTTTGGATTCTCCATCACCTCCTATAGAAAGCAGTTTAAAACGATGATCGCATGATTTTAGTGTAAAATAATTGTCTTAAACCTTGAAATTATGCATAAGATAAGAAAATTCTTCTACTAATGTAGGTTTCCAAATTGGGAAAAGTTATGACGGGAGGACAATTTGTATCTTGTCTCCCTAGGCAGAAATAAGAAAAATATTGTTAGTTTTGTCGATATTTATAAACGAAAATGAAAGAACCACAACATATGTTATTTTTTACTTATGATACTTATTTATCCAATATAATAAACTCAATAAACTCAGGTTTAAAGGGTTGTGTGATAGACCAAAGATCTTATATACGAATAACCAGTTTTCACAGATCTTTTGAATCATCGATGTCCTTTATAGAATTAACTAACGTTGCCATGGTAAAGTCTTATTTTTCAACGATACGAACCCGTGTCAAAGGAAAAGAAAAAAACATTTAATTAGAGAAGTAGGAAAACTTACAACAATGTAACATGATATAGAGTAGTAAAGGGAAAAAATACGAGGATGTAACATTGCTTTGAAACCTAAGTGAAATGAAAAGCAACATAAATGTGTTAGCAAATGAAAGGTGAAAAACCTTAGAAGAGAATGGTAAAAAGGAAACGTGTAACCGTTAATATGCGTAAAATAAAATGGTAAAAAGGAAAGGTGTAACCTCAAATCATTCATAAAGGAAAGTTTGAAGCTTGATTGAAGTGCGAAATAGACATGCAACAAAAATACACTTAGAAAACAATTAAAAACATAACCTGTTGGTGGAAAAAGAAACAATAACTTGTTGGTGAAAAAACTATATCAAATCATTCTTAAACAAAATAGTGAAGCTTAATTCAAGTGCGAAATACACATGCAAGAGAAATACAGTTCAAAAACCATAAAAACATAACATTATTGGTGATGAAAGAATAAAAAACTTATTGGTGAAACATCTACTTAAAATCGCTCATAAACGAAACACTGGAACTTGATTTAAGTGCGAAATACACATACAAAAGAAATACAATTCAGAAACCATAAAAACATAAGATTGTTGGTGAAAAAATCATCAAAAATTTGTTTGTTACAAAATAACCTCAAACCGTTCATAAACGAAACACTCACAGTTGATTCAAGTGTGAAATACACATGCAAAAGAAATACAATTCAGAAATCATAAAACACATAAGACTATTGGTGAAAAAGTCATTGAAAACCTGTTTGTTGCCAAAATAACCTCAAGCTGTTCATAAACGAAACATTGAAGCTTGATTCAAGTGTGATATACGCATGCAAAAGAAAAACATAACGTTGTTAGTGAAAAAGCATCAAAATATTTGAAGTAACGAAAAGAACCTAAAATCATTTATGAAGGAAATATTGAAGCTCGGTTGAAGTGTGAAAGCGATTTAGAAACGATTAAAAATGAAAGGAAAGATTGAAGCTTGAACGAAATGAAATACAATTCTAAAACGATTCAGAATCAATTTTGTTGGTGAAAAACACATGAAAACGTATTGGATTAGTGATGAGAGAAAACTGCGAGAACAAAGAAGAGACAAAGTGATGAAAGAGAAAAATAAGTGAGAATGGAGTGAGATACGTGAAATTGACGATATTAATTAGGATATGTATTATTTTAATAATAAATTTGATTATATAAGTGTGTAAAGACAACAAAACAAGCATCTTAGAAAGACAACAAAACCAACATTTTGTGTAGGTGTTGAGTTTTAACAAAGTGGTATATTGATATTAACAACGGTGGGTGCCAGTAGCTCCCAAATTTTCCAATCATCTCATAAATTCACTCCGACAGACTCTCCCTAGCTACCTCTTGGAAAGTCGGTGGATATTTATTCTACACAGGAACACACACACACACACACATATATATATATATATATATATATATATATATATATATATATATATATATATATATATATATATATATATATATATATATATATATATATATATATATATAGTTAAATAGTTAAATATGTTTTTGGTCTCTATAAATATCTCAAATTTTATTTTTAGTTTATATTAAACAATGATATATTTTGGTCCTTAAATTTTTATTCATGCAATTTTATTCTTTGTTATTTTCTAAAACTTTGAAAACTGTTTAATTACTTTTAAACTTTTAAATTTTTGAATAATATCTTTCATACGTGTTTAGAATACTATAAAATGTTTCTTTATCAAATTTTAAAATTTTTGAGATGAATTAAAATAATTTTTTTTTAAAATTTCAAAAGACATTGATTAAAGTAATGAAAATCTCGATTTAGAAATCAAATTTTGAATTCTTTTTTTTTTTCAAAGAACTTTTTATAACTTTTTAAACATATATGTAAAATAATCATTCAAAAATACACATCACTTTAACACGAGAGAGTAAAACTATGTAGGGACTAAAATATTACCATTTTTTTTATAGAGATCAAATACAAAATTTGATAATTTATAGGGACCAAACACACACACACACACACATATATATATATATATATATCTATATATATATATATATATATATATATATATATATATATATATATATATATATATATATATATATATATATATATATATATATATATATATATATATATATATATATATATATATATATATATATATATATATATATATATATATATATATATATATATATATATATATATTAGAGTTGAATTTAAATTTATTTTAAAATTATATATTATTATTTTCATTTTAAATTATAAGACATTTTGAGTATTCATAGTAATTAAGAAACTAATTAATTTTGTATAGAAAATAAATTATGAATAATTTTATAATTTTTGTTTTAGATTTAGCCAACAATTAAACACGATCCAATCCACTCCTACTCCAAGACGACCAAAAGTATTGACTCAAATAATTTTGGCTAACAAATGACACATTTTCTCCTATGTCTGGTAAATGGGGACATGTGGTTGGGTGATTCCCAGATCGATAAGACCACGATTACGCGTGACTACGTCTCTGCTCGCAACAACGACTAGTTTCAGACATCTATGCGCGTGACAACAACTAGTTTCTGACATTTCTTTCCAGGATCACGAGCATGAGCTGCTCGTTCATGCTTTCACGTAGAAATCCGGACGCTTATCTATTTGAGTCTAATATCCAGATCCAAAAATAAGAATCAATAGCCAAGCGTTAGAGACATTATATAAATCCTCATACTTGTGAGGGTCAGATATTCAATATTCAATCCTAAAATCTTTTTTTCTCTCAAGTATCTCTTTATATCCTTACTTACTCATTCTCTATTATTCAAGCATTACATATATATATATATATATATATATATATATATATATATATATATATATATATATATATATATATATATATATATATATATATATATATATCCATTATAAATTCTGATCAGTAATAAGATCAATACTATTTTTCATTTATTTATATATGAAAGAGAAATTTAAAAAATTAAAAGAAAAAATAATAATGAATATATCTCTTTAAATCAACTTAAATGATAATTATATGAAAACATCAGTTAGTTATATAATCGTGAATTCGAATCCACCACATACCCCTCAGGCTACTAAAATGAATTATAATTTGGGAAATATTTTCCTTTCTGAATGTCTATAATTTATGTAGTAAAAAAAAAAGACTTATAGTTTAAGACCAAGGGAATATTATGAATTATGTTTTGAATTAAGTGGGTTAACTCATGCTGGTTTTTCATCTTTTCTACAACATAAAAATAAAAAGGGGTCTCACTACACAAATAAAGAAGAAACCCTGTCCAAATCGTCTAAGCGAGGGTTTCTGAACGACTCAAAACGCTCCATCTCTCTCACCGTTTTGATTCTGGTTAGTTCTTCATCATCGCTCTCGTCCTATTTGATTCATAATTTCTTTCAAATCTCCAATTACTAACTCAATTCAACACAGGGACTGAATCGTATTTTTCATAACCATGTCTGGCGAAGAGGAGGAAAACGCCGCCGAGCTCAAAATCGGAGACGGTAATCCCATTATCGTTTTTTCCACAAAAGTTCCCCCAAATATTGATTTGCTTCCTTCGTTGTGCACTTCTTTGATTCAATATCAAATTATTGTACATTAGCAAAGTAATTTTACCTTTGCACAACCTAGTTTTTTCAATTAGATATTCTTTTAGTTTCTATCATGTTGGTTTTGTTGAATACTACTTATATCAAGCATATGAGGGTAATCAATTATGGGTGTTGCTTTGATTACTTGTGACCTAGCACCATCTTTGTATATAGCTCTTTTATTACAACGTTCCAAAAATTATCGGGTTTTTGATAGATGCTGCTGTTGTGTTTAGTTTTGTTTGATTGGATGAACATGTTTTTAGTTTGATATAGTTGTTATTTCTTTTTGATTTCACACTAAGGAAGTTGATTAATTTTTCAGAGTTTTTGAAAGCAAAGTGCTTGATGAACTGTGAAGTTTCATTAATTCTGGAGCACAAATATGAGCAGCTTCAGCAGTCATCTGATGATGCCGTGAATCAAGTTTCTCAGTGAGTTCAAATCCTTTCTCAAAGTTTATGTGTTACCTTGACATAATTTTCATGCATAGCATTTTTATTCCCCTAGAGATCTTGTATTTTGATACAATTGCTGTAAGAAGAGTATGCTTAGACTATAAGAAAAGTTATTAAGAAAGATCTCGAGATTAACAATTTGGATAGAAGCATGGTTTTGAATATAATATTCTGGCGAAAGTTGATCCATGTAGCTGACCCCACTTAGTGGAATAAGACTTGGTTGTTGTTGTTGTGCTGCAAAAAGAGTGTGCTTTGGTGTCTGAAGCTATAGAAATACTGACATTAAATCAAATCTGAACTTGCCAATTCCAATCACAATAGATATCTTTCCGGTGGTGGATCTGACACTGATGTTTAGATGGAAGAGGGGTAATGTTTCTAGTTGCAGTCCACACCTTATAGTAATGTTCTTTTCCTCTTTTTCAGGGTATTTGAAAAGTCATTGCAGTATGTAAAGCGTTTCAGCCGCTATAAAAATCCTGATGCTGTTAGACAAGTTCGAGAGTATCCTCCAAAATTAGCCGATGAACTCATTTTCTATTATTTCTCATGGTTCATATATTTACTTCTAATTGAAATTGTGCTGGGTCCATGCCATGTCATGTTCTTTCAAAATAATGATCGGCCTAATTTTCTTTCGAAGTAATGATCGACATGATTTTCTTTCGAAGTAATGATTGACATGATTTTCTTTCGAAGTAATGATTGACATGATTTTCTTTCATTACTTGATTGACTTTTCTATTGCCTTTCTTGATTTTGAGTTTTACTTTTATTACTATCTCTTTCTATTTTTGTATATATTAAAGGACTATTGTACTTCAGTAATAAGAAACTTGAAATTTTGAAACCTTGCTTCAAATTGTGATCTTAACTAACATAAGAATTCTGGCAAGATATCAGTTGGCTGAGTTTGAGGTAATTTGCTTATTCCCTTCACAAATTCAATTTAGGACGCAAACACATTTTCACATTTTATTCAGAATAGAAAAAAAAAGTTATAGTTTCACACATTACAATATATGATTCTGTTTGAATGGAATTATTGCAGCTGTGTGTCCTAGGAAATCTCTGCCCAGAAACTGTGGAGGAAGCTATTGCTATGGTTCCATCTATCAAGGTAGACATTATTTGTTTCTCCTTCTTTGCCCAATTGTATATTAAAGTTTCCTCTATATGGTTATAGCTTTCAAAAAATTGATTGGGTGATTGACATTTGAAATATTCTTGCATGCATGATTGACATTTGTTAAGTGCTACTTATGAAGTTTTGTGAAGCTACTAAACAAGTTATGCATTTTAGGCACTACATTTGTGTAATAACAACTAATACATCTTTTACATTATGTCTTTTTTTTACATGCAGACAAGAGGACGTGCCCAGGATGACGAAGCAATTGAGAAGATGTTAAATGACTTATCACTGATTAAGAAATTTGAATAATGGCTATTCCTGAGTTGTATGTAATGTAAGTGGTACTATATGACATATCACTTGACTGCAAGCAAATGCGTTGTGTGGTTGTTACAAAACTCAACAATGTAATATAGTAGCAACTTTACCGCGACTTTGATCAAAGGGGGATTTGATAGAGATCCTTGATAGTGTGACTTGCTATGTTAATGAAAAAACACGAATATTATTTTGCAGTTTATCCTCCTATAATCCTACTCTCTATAACAAAGGAGGGATTATTATACTTTTGCTGGTGACAGGATTAGAGAATTCCCTTTTACAAGCATGGGGTCCTAGTCCTACAAATGTGTGATAATTGTCAAGAAACTAGAGATTTTGTTTTTGACAGTAGAAACTAAAGAGTTTTACTTCATGCAAATGACTGAATGTTAGGGACCAAGTGAAGAAAGATGGGCCAGATATAGAAATGACAAATCATATTGGGCCTAGGAGTGCTAAGATCTGGCAGATTTATTCTAGAAGGAAAAAAGGATCTCACACCACGTGATAGCTATGAGGTGGCAGAGAGAGAGAGAGAGTAGTGGCTTTAGCGAATATCGTTAGACGGTTACAATAAATGAGGAGGTAAGGGAATTGGGGAGGTACGCTAGAAGATTCATTTAGCAATCATTGGATGGGGGGTTGTTAAGCACTCCATAGAAGCCTAGCTCTGTGGCAGTTAGATCATTGAATCTTCTGTAAATCTTCTTACCATCATACAATAATAGCCATTAATTTCTATCAACTTCTATCCTTTTGTCTTAAATTTATTTGTTACTGTCGGTACCTAACATTGGTCCGACCTACCGGATACGTAGAAGGAGCCAGTGAAGGAACGTTGGTGGATGCCGTCGAAGAAGAAAACAATAGCAAACATGGAGGCGAAGATTGCAGATCTGGAGCAAGAGTTATCGTTGATGAAGGTTGCTTTTTCTGACTCCATCGCTGAGGTTCAACAAACGACGAGGGAGAACCAAAGAGCGTTGATGCAGATGATGGAGAAGGTCCTTGGCAAAAAGGTGGTTGAAGTTGATGATGGTGTCTCGTCGGCGGTCAAGAAGGCTACAACATCCTCAGAGTTGAAAGGTGAAGCTTTGGATGAATTTAGAAGATCGGTTAAGAAGGTGGAGTTACCGGCGTTCTTCGGTGATGATCCAGTCGGATGGATCTCTAGAGCCGAAGTCTATTTTCGTGTGCAGGACACGAGTGCTACAGTGAAGGTGGGGATGACGCAGTTGAGCATGGACGGACCAACCATCCATTTCTTTAACTCTCTGTTAGAGGAAAACCCAGATCTGACATGGGAGGAGTTCAAGGTGGAGCTTCTAGAGAGGTATGGAGGTTTGGGAGAAGGAGACGTTTATGAGCAACTTACGGAGATTCGTCAAAAGGGTACGGTGGAAGACTATATACAAGAGTTTGAGCGTTTAACAGCTCAGATTCCAAGGCTGCCTGACAAACAGTACCTGGGGTACTTTTTGCATGGGTTAAAAGATGAAATCAGAGGTAGGGTTCGGAGTTTTGTGGCTATGGGTCCACTTACAAGGAGCAAATTAATTCACGTTACCAGAGCAGTGGAAAGGGAGATAAGTGATGGGTCGGGCTGGAACCGAAATCCGAAAATAGGTGGGTCAAACCGGGTTAACCCGGGAAGACATGGAGGTACATATTGGGTTTTTGTGAAAGGGGGTCAGAATAGTGGAAATCATAATGGGATTGGGCCTAGAGGTGTTAATGGCCCAATTCATGAATCCAAACATGGTACTGCAGATAGGAGGAAGGGGGTGTGCGTGAGAAGGGGTTTACCCATTTGTCTTATCAAGAACTAATGGACCGGAAGAAAAAGGGCTTGTGTTACAAGTGTGGGGGCCCATATCATCCTCTCCATCAGTGCCCAGATAAGCAGCTTCGTATCATGATTGTGGAGGAGGAGGAAGGAGGAGATGATGAAGCGAAGTTGTTGGCGGTAGAGGTGGAGGAATCTGAAGAGGAGCACAGTGGAGAGATGAGTGTTATGAGTCTCTTTGAACTGAAAGAGTCCCAACACGACAAAGTTCATACACTCAAACTCAGAGCAACGATCAATGGCATACCGGTGGTGGTGTTGGTTGACAGTGGGGCTACGCATAATTTCGTTGCGAAGTCCATGGTTCAGAAGTTAGGGTGGCAAGTAGAGACCACACCAGATTTTAGAATCAAATTGGGTGACGGGTTCCAAACCATTACTAGAGGAAAGTGTACTCAAGTTTTATTCAAAACTGGGGGAGTCACCTGTGAAATTGAGGCGTATCTATTTGATTTAGATGGGGTGGATGTAGTTGTGGGTATGGCATGGTTGAAATCTTTGGGAGATATGATAGTTAATTGGAATAAACAAACAATGGAGTTTTGGCATGAGGGGAAGTGGGTAATGTTGAGAGGGATAGAAGGAACATCTGAATCAATATCGGCATTGCAAAGCATTGTAGGGAAGGCTAGCAAAGGCTACGGCAAGAAAGGATGGTCACTAGATGCAACGTTGAGCAACACAGAAGGGCGGGCAGAGGTAGTGTTAGAGCAATCCGTCATGCAGGAAGTATTGAAATCTTTCGATGACGTGTTCCAAGAACCTAAGGGTCTTCCTCCATGTCGCTCAAGGGACCATGCTATCAATTTAATGGCAGGACAAGGTGCAGTCAATGTCAGACCATATAGGTACCCAGACCACCAGAAAATGAAATAGAAAAACAGATTAAGGAGATGCTTGAGATGGGAATTATTCAACACAGTTGCAGCGCTTTTTCTAGTCCCGTTATACTGGTAAAGAAGAAGGACGGGACATGGCGAATGTGTGTTGATTATCGTGCCCTTAACAAGGCCACCGTACCAGACAAGTTTCCAATACCGGTGATAGATGAGTTACTCGATGAGTTACATGGGGCTCAATATTTCACCAAGCTTGATTTAAAGTTCGGGTACTATCAAGTGAGGGTAAAACCGGAGGATGTTCATTAGACGGCCTTCCGTACTCATGACGGAAATTATGAATTCCTTGTGATGCCGTTTGGATTGATGAATGCTCCATCCACATTCCAATCCTTGATGAACGAGGTGTTCAGGCCCTTATTGAGGAAGTTTGTGTTAGTTTTTTTTGACGACATACTCATTTATAGTAAATCGTGGCAGACACATATTTTTGAAGTAACCAAAGTGTTGCAGATTTTGAGGAGACATAAATTGGTTGCTAATAAAAGAAAGTGTCAGTTTGGCCAGAAAACAGTTGAGTATCTCGGTCATTTGATCACGGGAAGTGGTGTAGCAGTAGATCCCTCGAAGGTGCAGAGTGTAATTCAATGGCCTATACCTAAGAACGTTAAAGGGGTGAGAGGATTTCTAGGCCTTACGGGTTACTACCGCAAGTTTATTAAAGATTATGGGAAGATTGCCAAGCCATTGACAGAGTTGACAAAGAAGGAGGGGTTCAAATGGGGGCCTCAAGCTCAAAAGGCTTTTGAAATTTTAAAGCAGAAGCTGACAACAACCCACGTACTTGCTTTGCCGGATTTTGAAAAGGAGTTCACAATAGAATGTGATGCATCCGGAGTGGGTCTGGGGCGATATTAATGCAAGAGAGAAAGCCCATTGCTTTTTTTAGCAAGGCTTTAGGAGGAAAGAATTTGGCTAAGTCTGCATATGAAAGAGAACTAATGGCAGTAGCTTTAGCGGTACAACATTGGCGTCCTTATTTGTTGGGCAGACATTTCACTGTGACAACAGATCAAAAGAGTTTGAAGCAATTATGGCAACAAAAGATTATGATGCCGGATCAGCAGAATTGGGCCACTAAATTGCTCGGTTATCAGTTTGATATCGTATATAAGCCGGGAGTGGAGAATAGAGGGGCAGATGCTCTATCCCGATTACCTGAAGGTGAATTAGCAGCTCTGGTCTCATATCCAATTTGGGAGAAAGGCAATGTGATACAGGAAGAAATCCACATGGATAAGGTTCTGCTGAAAATCATAGAGGAATTGGAAGAAAAACCAGATTCAAGACCAGGATTTAAGTACAAACAAGAGGTTTTATTTTATGAGGACCGTTTAGTGTTATCTGCACAATCTTCATTGATTCCCAAGATGTTGGCTGAATTTCATATTACTCCGAAAGGTGGGCATTTTGGGTTTTATCGCACCTACAGACGTTTAGCTGCTAATGTATATTGGATAGGTATGAAAGCAAGAGTGCAAGCCTATGTGAAGGCTTGTGATGTGTGTCAACGAGAAAAGTACTTAGCTATCGCACCTGGGGGTTTATTACAACCTCTGCCCATTCCCTCAGCAGTGTGGGAAGAGGTCTCAATGGATTTTATCACAGGTTTGCCGAAATCCCGTGGGTTTGAAGTTGTGTTTGTGGTAGTAGATAGGCTGTCAAAATACTGTCATTTCATCCCTCTTAAGAGACCTTATACTGCTAGAACAGTAGCTGAAATTTTTGCCAAAGAAGTTATACGACTTCATGGTTTACCTACAACCATTGTTAGTGACCGTGATCCTCTGTTCATCAGTAATTTTTGGACTGAACTTTTCAGGCTGCAAGGTACCACTTTGAAGATGAGTTCAGCCTATTACCCGGAAACGGATGGCCAAACGGAGGTTGTCAATCGATGTTTGGAGACTTATTTGAGATGTTTCATTGCGGACCAACCAAAATCCTGGCTGACTTGGATTCCATGGGCAGAGTTTTGGTTTAATACAACATTTCATGCGTCCACGAGGAGTACACCTTTTGAGTTAGTCTACCGAAGGAAGCCTCTTGTTATTACAAGACTCTTGCAAGGTGAGACAAGGGTGGTTGCAGTTTAAAAAGAGTTGGAAGAACGGGATGAAGCACTCAAGCAGTTGAGAGCTCATCTCCAAAGAGCTCAAGACCACATGAAGTATTTTGCAGATGAGAAGAGGACAGAGTCCAGTTTTAATATTGGAGAGTGGGTGTTTTTGAAGCTTCGTCCA